CTTTGAGGCACACTGCACATTATCATTCCGTTCGTTCTCACCACAAGATGCTGTGAGATAAGCCATTCGCTCATATGGTGTTCGGTAGCTGGTTGTACGCTTCGTGCAAGTTGTGCGTGCGGTCAATGCCGTCGGTGTATTGCAATCGGTTGTGCAACCACACGCGGGGTTTCTGTTTACTGATTCCAGTAGCAAAGTGAACAACTTCACGTGGTGGTTTGTTTGGCAATGGCAGTTGAAAGCTCATCAAGAAGTGTCCAGTTCGAGCTATTACCGCGAGAATGGCATGCCATAGCACTGTATGTACCTTGCCTTCAGTTGAACAAACAAACCGTCCGCCGTTTGGCAAGTACACAGCAGTGCTGCAGGAATATCTTGAATGCGTGTGTGTGCCGCGCGCGAATGGCGCACACCCCAAAAAAAATATGGTACGATACCATGGAGATGTTTAGACGTGAGAAAGGGTTCATCTGCCAACGGAAGAAACCAAGAATCCGCTTGGCATGCTTCTTCCTCATTATACAAGACACAATACAGAGGAGCAGGCTTCGTCGTCAAATCATGGCTGACCTCCTTGAGCTGCGCGTCCTTCGCCTCCATCCTGGAAAACACGACGCTGAGCATCTGCTGCAGACTGGCCTTGGCAGTGTTCTTGTTGATGGAATCGTGCGTGCTGAGGTGCACCTGCGGAAACACAAGCAAGTACAGCGCATATCATATCATTTGGTGAGCCCAGTTGAGAACGGCGCTTCTCTTGTGACTTTCCCAGTGACACAGCATGACCAATGCAAAATGACGATGTCGACACAGCCACAACAAACAAACACCATCAGCGTTAGATCTCTTAACAGAATCCTTCAACCATCCCTGACCTCCGTCCGTGGACATGCGTCCTGGCGTTCTCACAGGAACCACGGAGGGGTGTTGTTTTGCGGTGTAAAGGTCGCCTCAGCCAGCTGGACCAGGCATGCCGAAGAGCCCCGCCAGAACCAACAATCCCAAATACGAGACGGCAGTAATAGCCGTGCTTGGTGCATCGCAACTTCCCTAATAAACACCGATGAATACCACAACACCTCCTCCTTGCACCAAGCTTGAAAAAAAAAACACTCCGCAAACCACTCGAGGAAACCCTCCCAACCAACGGGCTTCTACCACGGACCGGCGGGCGGAGCAAAGACGGCGAATCCTGGTACGTGTAATACTACCATTACTACCACTCACGGTGTAAATGGTCTTGACGGCGGTGAGAAGGCTGGCCCGGTGCACCGACAGCGTCGTGGCCGTGCACGCGTGCACCAAAGCCTTGATGACCTGCAGCTGCACGTCTTCCGTCTCCAGGTCGCAGTCGCACACCCGCTCCACGACCTCGTCCATGAGCATGCGCTGTGGCAAGAACCTCGGCTGCTGCTGCTGCTGCTGCTGCTGCTGCTGCTGCGGAGCCCCCGCTTCCGCGGACTTCCCCCCCCCCTCTGCGCCCGCCGCCTCGGCTACCACTCCTCCCCCGGGCGAGGCCGGCTCTTCGACACCCTTACCGCCCCCTTCCCCTTCGACGCTTTCCAACGGCGGCGGAACTTCGGGGACCCCGTGGATGACAGCGCTAGAAGACGGGGGGTCCAATGAGGGGTCCAGTGTTGGTGGTACTCCTTCTGCCTCTGCTCCGGCGACGTCGTCTTCGTCTGCAGACCCCCCTGCATCACCCCCTGCCCCTTCTTGTAGCTGAACGACCTCGTCGATGTCGTCTTCGTCTTCGTCGTCGGAGTCTATCTCCACGTCTCGGATGTAGCCGTAGTCGATCAACTGCGTGTGCGTGTGTGTGTGTTTTCGCCCATCGTCCGGTTGTCACGGCGCAAGCCGGTTCGAGGTAGAGTGGTGGACGCTGGACTTGCATATATGTCTAGAACCCGCACTAAGAACTTGGCAATGCAGTCAAGAAATTGATATAGTCTCCAAAAACTCGAATCTAAGAACTTGAGCACCATTTGTGAGCCAGCCTGGTAAAAGAACACTGGATCCTATATAGTGGCCATCTGCAGCATAACCCTAGCAACCAAGACTACGAGCGTCGGCGAAAACTAGGAGCTTCTTTAGTGCTGGCGCCTACTCTGTCCTACAGTAGTCGCGAAAAAAAAAAACTACTACATCGCACAGCGTTACAGCTATTTGGAGGAACAGCAATGTAAACCGTCAGTTGTTTGTCAGTTGCCAAATTAGCTGTGATTCTGTGCGATATCGATATCTTTCGCCGTCAGCCCTGTGACCTCCTGTAGTGCCATGCATCGACCGATCACTACTGCTGCTGCTGTAACGTAGACATGAGAATGCCGTCGAACAGTTGATCCCCCCGGAGCGAACTAATGAAAGCACAGTATCATCAAGGGGCGATACAAGACGAAAAGGCAACGATAGGTACAGCACAGAGCTGCAGCTATTTTCAGCAACCGACATCAAAATCAAACCATTGGAACAGCCAGGTCTGACTGGTCTATTTCGGGTGTCACGAAAGTGCGCGCGTACAATTGCGCATCTTTTTTTACCCACGCACAAAACCTGCAATCAACAATCCTAGGTATCGTATAAATCACACCAATTTAGGGCAAGTTAGCTGTGACCACGGGAATCGATCTCGTCAAGTGGTAGACCAGTACGGACAGAGGGAGGTACTGGATAGAGCGATCGGTATGTAATGTGAAGACAACAACACCAGCAGCAGTGTAGTGATATACCTTGACGACGGTGTCGAGAGCGGTGGTGACGACCTTGGGAACTCCCGACGAGCACGCCGCCAGCAGGCACGGCATGTACTTGTTGGCGTCGGTGTCGGGCGTCTCGTCCTCCAGCCTCTCTTCCTCATCGTTGCGGTGGATCTCCTCTGCGCAGGACAGCAACCAATGGGAACGGCGGTTTCACCTCCGGGTTTGAGCCAATGATATCCGTGCGTTCAATGCTTGCGGAGAAACAAACAAAAAAGCTAAACGGAATACAAGGCGCGCCTCCGGAGTGGGGTGGCTCCTCACAGCATGATAGTAGTGCCATAAAGACGTCATGAACGATGAAAATGAAGTGTTGCCATCAGTGACGTTTCTCAAGCTCGAACAGCTCACACCGCCGACGCGTTTCGTCTCGAAGGGCCCAGCGAACCTCAATGAACCAAAAGAAATTTTTACAAAACCGTTGCAGTCTTGCGCTCATACTATTAGTACCGAACTTGGGATCGACTTTTTTGATGAGTTTCGTCGAGAGAGTTCGGCCCAGAACCGGTCGAAGTTATTCACCGTGGTTGTGTTTCAAGGGGATGGGCAATGATGTTCCACTATTGCTGAACACACATTACAAGTTTTAGGGACAACTGTGAAGCAATTCAAACCGAAAGTGGAGGGTACGTGTTGGACTTGAAACTACAGCAGCGTTTATCCGTGCCATACATTGTACGCCGCGAGGCTCTGTGTATGGAGCGAACATGTTGGGGAACGGATGCTGCACGATTTTCTATGCAGGCACAGCCATTGGTTAAGGGTTAGTGACATGCGGAAAGGAAACTACAGCAGTCTGCTGTAGCTTCCACGGAAAGTGGGTTCGATACACATGGTCGCCCACGTAATGCCCTTCGCGCAAAAATCGAGACATCAACGATAGCGAATCAAGCTCTTGCCCCTCTCATAGCCTCGTGTGTTGTCCCAGGCAGCAGTACGTCCTGGTGGAAAACATCTGACAATTCCTTCACGAAAACCAGAGGAAGCAGGCTACACGATGGCGGGGGCAGAACAAAAGGCATTTCTTCTCCGCCCCCTCCGACACAGGAAATCGATCTGCCTGCTGTACATCACATGGTCTCACCAAGAGTATCGCGACATTGCCTCTTCAGGTTTGATTGCCTCCTTGGGCAGTCCGTCGTGATCTTCGTCAGCGCGCGAACCACGATAGCTTCCATCCTGCTGCCACAACGAACCAAGAGACGCAGCTAGCCTCTCCTGCCTCCTGCTTCTGTTTCCAACGAGCACGCAAGGTGTATGCGGCGGAGCAAAAGCTTCCAGTGCACAATCGCCGCCAAGTTGCGTGGTGCTTGGGGGCGCAAGTTGCGTGCGCACGCACTCGTTCGCCGTTCAGAGAAGTAGCCTCCTCAGGCAGCACTCTATTAACTCGCTGCTCGTTCTCTCCGCTGCCCACTCCGACCACCCGAGCAGGCAAACAAGCGGCCGACTGCTCCAAAGCAGAGTGCGACGGGGGCACCCAGACAGGAAAACTAGGGGGGTGGCTCCTTGATTGCGGCGTGATAATGAAGCTCCCCCGGCCTCTCCGTTCTACACGTTTATTTCTCGCTCCACTCACCAGCTTCACATGGTTTCATAACAGCGCCACTAGCTGCGCGAATTACCCTTGCCATGCCAATCGATGAAGCTGTCGTGCCCTCGATTTCTTCTTTGTCGCCCTCTGGGCGTCTCCTGGCATTCGCAGCAGTAGTTGAACAAGGAGGTATTGACAGCAGCGGAAGCAAGTCTGCTGCCTTGGGCGAAGCGCAGCGTCATCAGGATCAGCAACAGCAGCACCTCGAAGGCGGAAACATCGACGACAGTCGTGCTTCTCCCGCCCTTCCGCAGTACCAAGTGGTAATCACGAGTAGCAACGGTGCAGAGGAGCACCAAACCTCGTCTACGGCAGCGGTTGCATGCCGAACTTGGAACGATGGCTGCACCCCGATTCTCGCCGCCGACAGCAACGGCGTTGATGTGAGCACGTGCTCCGTCAAAGCGCCCGTCACGGCGCTACAGTGGATGGACAACTGCAGTCTCGCGTGCGGCTTGCAGGACGGAACCGTCACCATTATCATCGCAGACCGCCGCCGTCGTTGGTCGGACCCTAACCCAAACAACGATGGCCGTTTATTAGAACACAGCCGTGGTCGGGGCGAGGCATTGACTTGGACACCGGCTCTATCTCGCTGCTTCCACCGAGTGCAGCAGCACGGAGGCGGGGGTGCTGACGGCAGCAGCGCGAGGGTGATGCGCATCCGACTTTCGGGCGGTGGGATCGCGGGCGGGGAGGCTGCTGCGGCGAGCGGCGCTACGCGCGGGAGCGAGCCGACCTTGTGGGTGCTGTACCCAGATCGGGTCGTCGTGTGTGTTGGAGTGGACGCGGTGGTGGCCTATGCTAGGTAAGCGAGTTGCGCAGACGATGCGGTAAGCACGAGAGCACTCGTGCCCCTTTCCGGTTGTATCTCGCCTCGTGAACGCTACTTATAACCCTGTCCCTGTGATGAATCTCCGTGCACGTGCATACCTGGACATATCAGCCTTGTGCGCTGTTGCACCATGACCGATGTAGGAGGAGCGTCAGCTTGTATTGGGGTTTGGAGAGTCCTTCTCTCTCATGACGATCGATCTGCATCTGTTTACGAGTCCACTTAAACGCTTGCTTTTGGACACCGACCATGAATTGTGTGAAGTGGCAGGCAAGAAGCCATCTGCGCTGTACAACCGCGCATCCATCTTACTCCCCATTATCTGTATCATAGGCAGCAGTGGAGATTCAAAGTGCCCACCCCACTGCCCCCGTACAGGCAACAAACAAAGGAGAACCAAACTGGTTCTCCGTCACAGCAGCAGATGTCCTACTCCAGCGGAACAACCGACAACGACAACGCCTCGCTCCATAACGACCAAGACAACCCCCCCCCCCTGGCGGCCGGCCCGTCCTTCGCCAAGCTCCAGCTAGAGGGGCAGGGCGAAGTCCTGGACGTGGTGGCGTGCGCCGCGCCCGCAGGGCTGTTCGAGGTCCGTTCCGAGCGGCACTCCCACGTCATCCTCGCCTCGGGTGTCTCCCCGGCCCTCGCCTTCTATCCCATCGGGTCAGAATCCCGCTCGTTCGGGCTCGCCAGCATTGCGTGGGCCGTCGCGTCGCGGGTAACGTCGCTGACCGTGGGAGCCCTCGACGGCCTGTTCGGCTTCGTGGGGCTCCGCGGAAGGGGAAAGAAGGCAGTGGGGGGGGCCAGGGCGAAGGCCCAGGGCAGGAGAGGGGCGAACGGCGGTGGAGGCGAAGACAAAGACGGTGGCGGGGATGACCCTTCCCCGGCGCCCCTCGTGCTGCATTGGGACGGAGGGCTTCAGGACGGGTGGCGCAGGGTGTCTCGCCTGTTTCTGGGACCGTCCGGGAGGCTCGCGGCCGCCGCGGATGGGTTTGGACGAGTCATGCTCGTCGACTGCGCCACCCGGCAGGTGTGTCTATCGACGTATATCACAGGAGAGGGTAGGAACCTTTCTCTCCGCTTATGAAACCTTTTTTTTTTGTGTTTCGGGCTTGAATGGAGCGTAGACGTTTTTGATCCCCACTTGCCACCATCGTGCACCTGTTTCGGTTCTAGCTCGAGCGCGTCGCCGGTGTGGTGGCCTATGATGGTCGTTGCGCCAATCTGTCCAACCCTTCTGAGCACACTTCTGGTATACCACTGTCCTTGTCTTCCAGATCCTTCGCATGTGGAAGGGCGTGAGGGACGCACAATGCGGGTGGCTGGAGGTTGTGGAGTCCTGGGAAGGCCGTCGCGTCGAGTCGGTTGGACAGAGGAGCCGATTCGCCGCCGCCGCCGCCCCGGTGCAACAGCCCGGAGAATCGGTTGCGGCAACCACGCCCGTGGTCGGCCTCTACCTCGCTATCCTTGCGCCTCTGCGCGGCCGAGTCGAGCTTTGGCGGATGCGGCACGGACCGTGCGTGAGGGTCATCTCCGCACCGGCCGGCGCTAGGCTGCTGACGTCTCGTCCGAGTCTGGCTGCCCCGACTGGTGATGGTGATGTCAGCGTGGACGGCATCGGCAAGGGGAGACACGCCGAGGCTCTGACGAACTGCTTTCTTCTCACTAGCGGTGCGGGCGGGTCTGAGGCAAGGAAGCTAAGGCTCAACCCGCTCATGGTCGAAGAGGAAGATCTGGCCGATCTGCCCAACAGGTAGGTGCCTGGCCTTGAGCTCTCGCACGATTGTCTGATGTGATCCGAAGCATTTCCTACGAGTTTGGGTATTCTCGCAGCCGATTTGGCCTGGGTATCGTCGTCCACAGCTGATTCGAAGATGGGGTAGACATACGAATCATCGCATGCTTATTATTCTAGTCCGCGCGCCCCCTGTCTTCCGCTGCTGTCGCGAGGCAGGCATCAAGTTCGAATAACGTTCTCTCACTCTTCGAAGAGTTTCCTGTGACTTTCATTCGTGCCATATAACAGCTGTGAGATGATCTTCGATTCTCTATCGAACATGTATCTGCCGTGAAAACATTTCCTGATTTTTTAAGGCTGTCCCGTGAGCCGGCTGTTGATGACGCCTATCGACTCCGGAAGCTCGCAGCCGCCGTGGAGGAAATGAGAACCCATGGGACCACCTCCCGCGCTGGCCGGGGACAACTACGGGGAACTACTACTACGCTAGACGTGGCCGGGGGGAGAGGGCGGCTTCCGGCTGGGCAGGAAGCTCGCGAAGACGTCGTCTTTCAGCTGCTGTCACAGCTTGAGTCGGTCGAGTCCCTCGCCCAGGCGACCGCCTCGCTCGGTCCGGCGATTCCGAAACCGTCGGCAACATCGCCGGACTCGACATCCGACCGCATGCTCGAGCTTAGCGCCTCTTTCCAGAGGAGAGTCTCCGCTCTTTGCCGCGAGCGCGCCGAGCAAGCAGCTGCGGGCGCAGAGATAGATGGTTCGAAGGACAAGGCTGCTGCTGCTGTTGCTGTTCCTCCCGCGGGGAACAACAAGTCCGGTGCAGCCGCGGCAGCGGCACTCCGTTTCCGCGCTGCCGCTTTCGAGCTCTACACCGTGCTCGAGTCCGTAGAACTCAACCCGGCCGGGGGGGACGAGGACGAGGACCCGGCGTTTTTAGCCCCTGGGAACCGGGGATGGAAGTACGGCGTCTTGTGCGAGGAGGCCGCCGGCTGGGCAGACATGGTGCGGGAGACGGGAGGAGGAGCGCCATTGCCGAGCGCGGAACTTCCCGACTTTCAGGTGCGTTTCGAGCGGATGTGCATCGTTTCTTGGCTTCCCTTCTTTGGTATTCGCGATTGGCTCTGGCGCTGGTCGTAAGTTCCTGCAAACGAGCGGGCACCGCCATTGGAGCCAAACCCTTTCGTTTCTTCTCGCCTTGGCCGCAGGCAGTCACACCTCCTGGTTACCGCACAACCCAGTAGAATATGGCACCAGCAGAAGTGCCATCCCACCGCGCCATCACACCCTTCGTCACTCGGGCGCGACGGAATACCACACGACAGAACACCAAACCGCGAGACATTGATGTATACATATGTATTTTTGCCCTAATAAATATGCGTCGTCACGGGAGCGCCGTGTTGCCATTTTTGACGCACGTTATCGTACGACCGACGCGGTATCTCGTCTATGTCTAATTCCCGGTTACGCCACGCAGGAGTTCCTCGAAACCGTGGCGGTGGTGCTCGAGGTGGCGGAAGAACCTGCGGCAGGTTCACGGCGCGTACCGCGCGGCGGCAGAGACAGATCGCCGCCATTGTTGCGGTTCGTGGGGCCCGGTCTCCGAGAGCGGGAACCCTCGATTGGCGGCGGCGGCCCCGGGTCTCGTCGGACCAGCCGGGACTCTACAACTTCCGCCGACTCCGCACGAAGGTCGTCGTCGTCCTCTGCGGCAGAAGAAGCCGGCGGCGCTTCCGCCGCCGCTGCTGCTGCTGCTGACTACGCAAGGTGCAGGACGCGGCTGTTCGGCTGGCTGTTCCGACCGCTCTTGTCTGACGCTTTCGCGCTAGCTTCCTTGACGCAGGCGTTGTCGCTGCTGGGGTTAGGCGGGGGCAACGGCCAGGCGGCCGTGCTTGTCCGGGACCTAGCGGCGTGGTTCCTGGAGTTGCCAGTTGGGCGCGCGGCGGACACGACGGTGGGGCGGGAGGCTCAGAACTGCCCAGTGCTGCGGTGGCTCAAAGGGGTCATTCTGGCTTGGGCATCGTCGTCAACCAAGCGGTCGACCGCCGGCGGCGGCGAGGATGGCGACGACGGGGGGTCGTTTCTTGACCGCGAAACGACGGCGCCCCCTGACGCAGAGAGTCGGATGAAGGACCTTTTCGGGGACCCGGTGGTCAGGGGCGGATGCGTTATTGGTGCCGGTGGGAAGGACGACGCCGACGGCGGCGAGGCTGCGTCTAGCGCCGGAGTTAGTAGCGCTCAGGACGCGGAAGAGGGGAGCGACGGAATCGTTGGCGATGACGACGACGAAGATCGAGAGGCGGAGGAGGCGGGCGAGAAGGATGCGGAGGAGGTCTTGCGGCCCATGTTCGAGGCGTGCGCCGCGTCTCAGCGGCTGGAGAACGCTTCCATGCTGTCGGTGGTCACGGCCGAGGCGCTGGCGGCGTGCCGCGAGAAGCTGGAGGAGAGCTCCCTGGGGCAAGTCGCCATCGGCGGCGGCGAAGCTTGGGTGACCCTCGCGAGGAGATTGCGCATCTGCTTGTTCCTGGACCACCGTCTTCACTGGGGGGTGTTGGCGGAGCAAAGGTGAGGGTTAGAGCCTGATTGGGAGGGGCGAGAGGAGACAAGCAGTCAAGCATATGAGAGATTTGATTTGCCAGCGCTTGTTTGAGGGGGTGGAAATTTGAGGATTTTCCGTCGGTATTGGCTTGTGGGCTATCTCGCGCGGTCTGCAGTGCGTCGTGCTCGCTATATGTGATCTACGAATCTTGCACATATCGTTGTATATTTGTAAGGGATAAGACGACGCGGCATTGCAGCTATCGCGGGCATGTCGATGTTTTTATAACCTTTGAGGAGGTTAGGCGAACGAGTGCTCTTCGCCAATGACGCGAGCCCAGCTCGGCCTCTCCTTCAACGGCACCGTGCACGCGCACCCCGCCTCCGACAACATGAGACCCGCTCTCCTTCTGTTCGTATCCCGTCGCACCGTAGGGACCGCGCGTCCTTGCGCCGGTTCGAGGAGGGCAAGGCCTCCGTCTACGCCTTCGTGGCCAAGGACCAGCTCATGTCTTTCCGGGACCTGAGCTTCGCGGCGTGCTCGGCGCGAGAGCGAGGAGAGGTGGAGGCGTCCGCGCGGAGCCAGCGAGAGGCGGCGGAGGCGGCGAAAGCTGCCGCTGCCGGCGGTGGGAGGCAGCTGGTGAGGGGCGAGCAACGCCGCCGCCCATCGGCGTTTGCCGGTGAGGACGGAATCGGCCATGCGGTGGCGGCCGCCTCGAGTTTGGCAGACGCCCAGATGGATGGGCACTGGAGAGCGGTGAGTCTCGTCGTCGTGCATCGAATTGTTGGTCGCCACGAACCACGCTTGGTGGTGAACAAATGCAGCCCGACGAACGTGTTCGGAGAAGCGTCGACCGTGAGACTTGGGGGGCGGTCAACGTCGCAGAACGTGTCTCAGTTTGGTGCCCGTCCGCCCGAGGTCTCTGCTAAGTTCCTGGGGCTTTGGTAGGAGTAGAAACGCTTCAATCCTCGACCGACATGACTCTTTTCTCAACCAGTGACGTCACCAGGGACCACGTCAATAAATGTTACACCTGCGAGTCGCCCTTCGGCGTGACTCTCTCTGCACGTCATGTGGCGTCACCTATGACGTCATCCGCAGCACCTCGGTTTTCTCTTGTACCCCGCCTATGCTCCCACCCTGATGTGAACGTTTTCAGGTGCAAGCCGTGGCAGCGCGCGCCGGCAATTCCCCGATGATGGCCGCCCTCGGAGGCGTTGTCCCAGCGGTTGCTGAGCCTCGAGCAGGACCAGCGGGCAACCGGGAGAACAAACCCCGGCGCGAGGAGCAGGCGTCGTCGCCCAGGGGTCACAGCCATCGCAACAGCGGTAATGGAGCTGGCGCCGCGGAAGGATCAGTCGTGCTACCCGGGACCTTCCCCGAGTCTCCTCCCACCTCCCTCTTCTTCATGCGCTCGCACGCGCAGCCGATCGTCCTGGCCTGCCACCGTACCCGGTGGCTGGTGCTGTCATGGGCATCCACGGGGCCCCGGTCCGAGGAAGCTCTGCGGCGAGCGGCAGACCGGGGGGCTCTGGCGGAGTCGGTCAGGGCAACCGAGGCGGCCGTCAGGCGCCTGGCCCTTGCCGTGGACCACCTGAGCTACCTCCGGACCGCGAGACCTGGCCTGGCCGGGTGCGTGGCGTACTGGCTGTGGGAGCACGGCGGGGTGCGCGCGCACGTCGGGAGGCTCGCGAGGGGGTTTGCTCCCACGAACGGCGGCGGCAGCGGGAGCAGCAGCAGCAGCAGCAGCGGCGGCGGCGGTAGTGGTAGCGGGGGAACTGTACATCAGGATAGGAATACCGCTGACGGTGGCGCCGTCGGGAGTGGGTTGGTGAAGGAGGGCCGGCCGGCAAGGGAAGCGTTCCTGGCAGCCGCGGAGGAGTTCCTCAAGGTAGAGGCTGTGTTTTCGGGGCGCTATGACGGAGCACGGGGCGGTACTGGCGGGAGCAGGGGAGGGGCCGGAGGAAAGGGTCCCAGCTCCGCCGCCGACGTGTCTTTCATGTCGCTGCTGACGGAGGGGGCGGTGCAGCGCTGCCCCTGGCCCGGGGCCTGGGATCGCTGGGTGGAGGAGTGTCTTCGCGATGCCCAGGTACGTGGCGCGGCATTGTCGCGACTGTTGTTCTCGCCGAAATAGATAAGGATACCGCGGAACCCTGCTGTGGTACAGAACAGTTCATAGTGGACGTGCTTTTGTGGCGGTTGCGATGTGCAGCCTCGTCGAAGGACGATTACATGCACGCACGGGCACACGGATGGCGAATCTCGAATCTAGGGCTGACTAGATAGCTCGTCCCGCTACAGGCGACCGAGATGGCTGTGGTTGTGCAGCCAGCGGTCCGCTCCCTGAGTTTTATCGATGCTTGTCGTACNGTGTTTGCCATCGGGGTTGGGTTTTCGTCGCTTGGCGACGACGTTGTGAACCAAGCCCCCCCCCGGTGTTTGCAATCGGGATTGGGTTTTCGTCGCTTGGCAACGACGTTGTAAAACAAGCCAATTCACTTCGTGAACTCGGCAACCAGGCTCTTTTTTTTTCCTCCGTTTTTCTTTTTGGCGGTAACCATAATGGTGGTCGAGTAGATCATGTTGTGCGGGGTGGAGAAACCTCACTCCGCGCAAGGAGGATGATCGCACCACGTTGTGTTAAAATGGTCAAGCATCCTCGAGGCAATTACACAGTGCTTTCAACTGTCTCTGGAAGTGAACGCACCAGAACATAAATTACGTCACACGCAGCTGTCATCCGTACGCAAGGAAGTAAGCACGAGATA